GCTTATCTGAGATCTCTTTCCTTTCCATAGGAAATTAGTAATTGTTTTTTCCATGTCCTTAAAAAATTTGTTGGAATCTGGATCGGGACTGTGTTAAATGTGTAGATTGCTTTAGGTAGTATTGACATTTTCACAATATTCAGTCTACCTTTCCATGAACAAGGTAGGTTCTTCCATTTATCTACTGCTCTTCTTTCTTTTTTTTTGATGTGCACATTTATTGCTATAAATTGGCCTCTGATCACTGCTTTTGCTCTGTTCCAAAGAATTTGGTTTGTTGTGTTTTCATTCTCATTTGATTCAAGGAATGTTTTAATTTCATTTTTTATTTCTTCTCTTAGCCAGTCTTTCTTAAGGAGGGCATTGTTCAGTTTCCATGTGTTTACTCTTTTTCTGTTGATCTTCTTATTGTTGATTTCTAATTTGATAGCATTGTGATCTGAGAAGATGATTTGCAGTATTTCAATGTTTTTAAATTTATTAAGGCTTGCTTTATGGCCTAACATATGGTCTATCATGGAAAATGCTATATCTGCACTGGAAAAGAATGTATATTGTACTGTTGTTGGGTCAAGTGCTCTGTAGACATCTATAAGATCATGTTGGTGGAATGTATTGTTTAGCTTTTCTGCATCTTTGTTGAATTTCTTTCCAGTTGTTCTATCTTTCCTCGAAAGTGGTGTACTAAAGTCTCACACTATGACTATGAAGTCATCTATTTGCCTTTTCAACTCTTTTAATGTCTGGTTTATGTATTTTGGGGCTCTTTCATTGGTTCATAGATATTTATTAAGGTTGTATCTTCTTGTTCAATTGATCCTTTAATCATTATATAATGACCTTCCTTGTTGCGTATGGTGGTTTTTGTCTTAAATCAATTTGATCAGAAATTAATATTGGCACTCTTGCTTTTTTTTGGTTGCCATTCGCTTGATAAATCTTTTTCCAACCTTTGATTTTTAGTCTATTTTTGTCTTTGTCTCTAAGGTGTCTCTTGGAGACAGCATATTGATGGGTTGTATTTTCTTATCCAGTATGCAACTCTCCTTTTCTTTAGTGATACATTTATCATTAACATTCAGCGTAATTATCAACAAGTATGAAGGGGTTGCTGTAATTTTGTTATGTGTTTTTTCATGGTGTTCTTGGTTTCTTTATTCCATTTATTTTCTGTGCTGAGCTCATTATGTTTATGAATCATGTTATCATTTCCTTTGTTGCTGTTGTGTTAGTATTTGCTAAATATTTGTGCTTGTCTTCTTTTTTATTGTGATGTGAAGGTTTATCATTTTTCTTTGAGGTTACCGTGTGATTTATAATTTTCTCTTCAAGTTTAGAACAGTCCATTTTATCTTGCAACTCTCTTGACTTCCTCACCATTTAGAAGTTCTATAACTACATGGTATTTTCCCTCTTTTTGGTTTGTCGTTGTCCTCATTTGCCAATTGATATCTCTGGTTTTCTGTTTATAATCTTGTAAGCTTATTTTACTTTGGATATGTCCAGAGCTGTGGTTTCTGAGTTATGTCATCTTGTGTTAATGGTCCATTGTTGTTCGCTATTATTTGTTCTCTGTTCAAAGGACTCACTTTAGTGTATCTTGTACAGTTGGTCTGGTTTTAACAAATTTCCTTAATTTCTGCTTATCTGGAAATCTCCTAATTTCACCATCATATTTGAGGGACAATTTTGCTGGGTATATAATTCTTGGTTGGAAATTTTTCTCTTCCAGGTTTTATATATACTATCCCATTGCCTTCTCACTTGCATGGTTTCTGCTGAGAAATCAAAGCTTATTCTTATTGGTTGTCCTTTGTCATATTGATTGTAACTTTTCATTTTTCCCATGCTACTTTCAGGATTCTTTCTTTGTCTTTGGTTTTGATGAGTTTGATGATGATAAGTTTTAGTGATTTTTTGGGGGGTCTATCTTGTTTGGGGTTTATTGGACTTCCTGAATGGATATATTATCATCTTTCATCATATCAAGAATGTTCTCTTCCAACAAATCTTGGACCATTTTCTCAAGTTTCATTTTTCTCTTCCTGTTCTGGAATTTCAATGACATGTAGGTTATTCCTTTTGATAGAATCCCACATGAACCTTAGGCTTTCTTCATTTTGTTTTGATCTTTTTTCTGATTGATCCCTTTCCAAAGAAGCATTCAGGTATTTGCCTTCAGTCTCATTAATTCTGTCTTCCATTGATTTGATTCTACTCCTTTACCCTTTCAATGTGTTATCTATTTCTGAAAATTTAGTAGTAATCTTCTGGATTTCTATCTGTAGATTTTGAATCTTTTCTAATTTTTCATTTATTTTGTCATTTTGTTCTTGTATTTTCTTCTGAAATTGTTCTAGTGCTTTGTCTGTGTTTCCCATAATTTTCTCAGTGCTTTCCTTGATCTATCTCTCAATCCTTTGAAGATACCTAAATATAATTCTTTTGAATTATTTATCAGGGAGTTCCAATGCTGCTTCTTCCTCATGGATGTGTTCTGGGTCTGTATCCTGCTCTCTTGTTTCTACTCCTTTATCTTGTGTCTTTGTGTGGACTGTGATAGTCTGTTCTCTCTGAGACATTGTGATGTTATTGTACTTAGGTCTCTGTTAACTGTTTGTGAAGAGCAGCTAGGCTCTTCTTGGTGGTTGTTTAATGCTGGCCAGTTGGTCAAGAAGGAATAGGTGACTCTCACTCAGGGAGTGAAGCTGCAGGAGGTGTGGCTTTAATTGTGTCATATGGGCATGGTTGCTGTCTCCCACTCAGACAAAAATAACAATTGACTAACCATAAAAAAAATAAAAGCAAGTGGACAAAAACACACCATGTAATCACACAAGAACAATAACAGAAAAAGAAAAAAGGAGAAAATAAAACAAAAACTAGCAATATCTGGGGAGAGGGCAATAAGAGAAAAAAAGGTAGAGTAGGAGAATAATGAAGAAAAAAAATGGAAAAAAAAAAAAAAAAGAACAACAAGGAATGGGGTTAACCAAGAGAAAGAAAAAAAATGGAACCAGGAACAGGGAAGAGAGAAAAAGCTGAAAACTAGACCCTTGGAAGGGAAGAATAAATTATTATTACAAAAATAGTAATAGTAATAATTATTATAATTAAAACAGACAAAAACAAGCAACTCAAATAAAGGGGACGGGAGGAATCTGGGCAGGGCTGGGCAGGACACCCAGGCTCCATAGAAGCACACCAACTAGGATGGAATTCCTGCCAGCCCAGAAGGTGGGTGGGAGTGAGGGGTGGCCACACCTCCATTCACCAAAAGGGTGTGGAGTAGAAGAGTAACAAAGGGAATATCACACCTTTCCAGTCCTTGGTGTCTGGAATGTCCTTGCAGTTCCTTGCAAGTGGAGCCTATTCTTAAGTCCCTGGAATCTGGGAGAATGCTGTTGGTTTAAATATCCAAAATGCTTGAACTGCTTGTAAACATTCAAACTGGCTGCACCCTCTGGATAGGCAAAAATCCACAGCTCAGCCCGCCTTCCTCTTCACTGCTTCCCTTTTTGTTAACCTGCCACGAAAGCAGTCCTCTGTGCAGTCTCTGGCTAGCAGGGTTGATTTTTAGGTTAATTCTTAGGTCTTAACACCACTCAGCAATATCTAAGCTGTCTATGCCAACAGGATTGCTGCCAGACTGCAGCTCTATGCCTCCTTTTTTTGGTCTTTTCATGTAAATTCTTCTGCTACTTGGAGTTTAGTCCACTTCTATATCCTTCCCTTCAAAGTTCAGGGCTCCAGGGTTATCTTCTGTATCTGTGCTAATTGGTTCCCCTTTTCTTTGTTGAAGAGGATCTGTGCAGTCTTTCTGCCTATACTGCCATCTTACCGGAACTGCTCTAAAGTGTTTCCTCACTACTTTCTGCCACAGCAGGATATTCCACGCTCACCTTCTACTTTCCCAATCTGAGATCTGCCTTTATGGTACTTTTTATTAGGGAATGTTTTTAGAAACTAACACCTGGGCACACTGATATTACTGATGCAAATGTAACAACATTAAAAAAAAAAAAAAAAAAAAACCTCACTGCCATTGAGTTGGATTCAACTGATAGCGACCCCTCCTTGGGTTTCCCAGGTGGTATCACTATGGAAGTAGACTGCCCAACCTTCCTTCCGGGGAGTAGCTGGTGGGTTTGAACTGCCAGCCTTTTGGTTAGCAGTCAAATGCCTTAGGCACTACGCCACCAGAGCTCCCTGTAACATTACAGGGGTTGTATTTTTCCTTACCTGCTTTTTACTTGGGAGCTCTGGTAAGGCATTTGGCTGCTAACCAAGAGGTCACTGATTAGAATCCACCAGCTGCTCCATGGGAGGAAGATGAGGAAATATACTTCTGTAAAGATTTATACCCTTGGAAACCCAATGGAGGTTGTTTTGAGTCAGAATCTAGTCAATGGCAGTAGGGTTTTTTTGGTTTGTTTGTTTTTTTCTTTCCCTACAGTGAAAATCCTATGGTATCAATACATCTTACTTGTTCCATACTATAATATAATGAAAGGAGCTCTGTGGCACAGTGATTAAGGCATTAGGCTGCTAACCAAAAGGTCGGCAGTCTGAACCCATCAGCCACACCGCAGGACAAAGATGAGGCAGTCTGCTTCAGTAAAGATTTACAGGTGTGGAAACGCTGTAGGGAAGTTCTACTCTGTCAGATAGGGTCACTATGACTCAGAAATCGACTTGATGGCAGTGGATATAACATAATAAACAGTCTCAAAATTACAAGACCGACCATAGCACCAACCATAAACCCACTAATAAAGTTTAAGATTTCTTCACAGTTCTTTTTGTCCTCTGACTGTATTTCACTATGGACATATATTCAAAATACCATGTTCCAGTTTTACTGAAATCATTATTTTCTCTTTGTGGTTATGTTACAATATTATGTTGTACCACAAGGTAATCACAAGTGTTTCTATATGTTTTCAGGTTAAGAAAACTTACCTCTACCATTACTTTTTAGTCCAACAGAAGCTTGAACAATGAAGCGAAAAATGAAGTATTCAACCACCAAAACCTCCCAAGCAAAGCAGAGAAGATCAGCAGGCAAAACTCCAGCAAAATATCTCAAGCTGAGAAGTAAGGCTTTTAGCATTCTTGATCAATTAACAGCATATTTTTTTTTATCTGTTATAAAATCTTTATCATTCCTATGTTCACACATGTTACCTTATCAAAAGCTACAAGAATTGAAATTGAAAGAGATAACTCATAAGTGTGTAATATAGTAGTCTGTTTATAGCCTATAATACAAACTGTATATAATCAACTTTTGCTTATGTGATACATCATAGAACAGGGATGGCTCAAATCATTTAAACATGCTAAAGGTGGCCGGTTAGCTCAGTTGGTTAGTGTGGTACTAATAACACCAAGGTCATTGGTTCAATCCCCATATGGGCCATAGGTCTTCTTGGGAGCTCTGGCATAGTACCTAAGGCATTTTGACTGCTAACCAGAAGGCTGGTGGTTCAAACCCACCAGTCTTCCTCAGGAAGAAGACTGGGCAATCTACTTCAATAGAGATACCACCTAGGAAACACAATGAGGGGTTGCTATGAGTTGGATTTGGCTCAACGGCAGTGAGGTTTTTTTGTTTTTTGTTTTAGTAATAGTGATAAATTTAATTATAGCCCTTCATATCAACTTCATAAAGTCCTTCATATCCCCTTCCCCACATGTCATGCCACCAAATCCCAGAAACCTTTAATTCTAACAGAATTTTAAACTGATCCACTGTCATTCAACAAATAGCTTATGAAGGCCTTTGGTGTCTCAGACATATGGTCTTTACTTGTCACTTCTGATATAAAGTGAAGATATTTGAATAATCCAGGCCCAGGATAGAGCAGCATTGACCAAATAGTGCTCAAGTCTATCCAGTGGCAAACTCTGTGAGTCTGGAATAAGTTGAACGGTAAACAACATCAGGTGACAGTCATAGCTTGGAGGTGAAAGGGCTATATACTTTTTTGATCCTTAAAATTAGCTGGCCTAGGAAATAATTATGCAAATATATGTGTGGTGGTTATGCTTGTGTGTCAACTTGGCTGGGTCTGGTTGAGTAGCTGGGCAGCTGGGCAGCTGGTGGTAGTTATTTCCCATGATGAGACTGGAAATCAGCTCTATGGTGGGATCTACCACAGCTGAGTAGCTGCTTTGGTTACGTGATCTGCTTCCTGTATATAAGAAGCAGCTTTGGAACTGGTCTCTAGCTTATGGCAAGCTTGGACCCTGCATGCAGCCATGCCGTTGTTCAGCAGTCTCCCATGCTCTGCTGACCTTGGGACTTACAATGGACTTAAGTTAATGGATTGCTGTGTGGTTTGGTAACATTGAGACTGTGCCTTTTTACTTGTCAACCTTGGGTTTGTCAGCTTCAGCAGCCAGCAGCTGTCTGAGTGAAGAAACAGCTCTACTCAGTGGGCCAGGAGCAGGAGGCAGAGCTGGACCCCAAGGTTGAGAGGCTTCACCCAGCCCCTAGAGCCTGGCATTTTGAACTTGGAGTTAAAGCTTCCAAATTGTGAGAGAATAAACTCCTGTTTGTTAAGGCCAACCCATTTGTGGTATATTCTTGTCAGAGCAGCACTAGGTAACCAGAACAGAATACTCATGTTTTCCATATGGGAACAGTTAACACAAAAGAAAGTTAACCCAATCCTGGTGGACTGAAGAGCATAAGGAGTGATGGGAGGATCAGCATACCCTTGTCTTTTTTTGCTCTTCTTCATTTGCCTGAACATCTTTAAGGCTAAAAGAGAAAGTAGTGCTAAAGAACATCATTTTGGTCCCTTTCTGTTCTCCTTGAACCTCTGGCCCACATGGACTGTTCTTTGGTAACCAGAGAAAAGGCTAATTTGACTGTGGTTTCTAAATGTTCAGAAAGCCCAGTTAAATCAGTCTTTTTCCTGCAAGTAGTTGAGTCAAAATGTCCTGAGTAGAGATTCAGTGGAAGTGATTCTATGTCCCACAATTCCCCAAAATAGAGTGCATTTTCTTTGTATCTCAGGAGATGTGGCTTATATAGACACTGGACTGAGAGAATGTACCGGACTGTAGCCTGCTGCTAGCACTGATGCAAATGCTAAAAATGTAACATTTCCTTAAGGATACAGTGGCCTTAATTGCTTATCTGAGGAGCTCTGGTGGCACAGTGTCTAAAGCATTTGACTACTAACAGGAAGGCTGATGGTTCAAACTCATGCAATCAACTTCCGTAAAGATTTACTGTTTCAGAAAACTAATGGGGGTCATTATAAGTAGGAATTGACTTGATGGCAGTTGAGGAACCCCACCCCTCCTGGTTTAACTGCTTATCTACACTATTTAGGGTAATAGTGATAAAGATAATCCCCAGCTTATCTTTATGTGGCTTTGGAATGTATCACACTATTTTTACTGTCCCCTAACAGATCTTCCTTTCTAATAACATTGGCTCCGTTTAATACTAAAATCATAAGTTATTAAATACTCCTGACCAAAAATTCAATAGATACCTCAGAAGTGGGGGACAGATTATGACCTGCTTCTTAAAACTCAAGTGTAAGAAATGTCAAATCTTAATTTTTTTCTAAATAAACTTCTGCTCTGGTCTCCAAGCAACAAGGCAAGATAGCTCATTTAATTCTAACTCCTTTGGGCTACCAGGAGCTGACACAATCCACAGCTCACAAAGCCACAAAATCGTCTCCAACAGTTTACAGGGGTAACCTCTAGAGCATTTCTGTGCCAACAGGAAGCAGAACTTCATGACCTGGAGGAAACTTCTAACTGCCTCTCTTTCCCAGATTCTAGGAAGCTGCTCCTCAGGGTCAGGCCATTCTCTCCTACTTCTTTTCCCCCATTTGTCTACCCTTTGCCCTCCCTGACAAGCCAGTCTCCTCTATTCATGAGTGCAGCCAGAAGTCACAGTATGGGAGCCTTGGGCAGATTTATCAAGAAGAAGTATTTCATTTAAACTGAATAGTATTGTTGATGTTATTGTTCTTAAGTGAGCCAAAATTTTTAAATTAGAAAATTTTGTATAAAAATCTGAATGTATAGTTTCTCTTGAAAAATACAGTCTAATCTCCTAAAAATTAAACACTTACAGTCATCAAAAAATTTTACCAAAAGAGTGGAAAAAGAACCTACAGACTGGGGAAAAAATGTTTGGTTATGACATATCTCTCAAAAAAACTCAACTCACTGCCCTCCAGTAGGAGCCTACTCATAGTGATCCCTCCTTGGGTTTCTGAGATGGCATCACTACGCAAGTAAATTGCCCAACTTTCCTTCCAAGGAGTGGCTGGTGGGTTTGAACTGCCAGCCTTCTGGTTGGCAGGCAAATGCCTTAGGCACTACGCCACCAGAGCTCCCATGACATATCTAATAAGGGTATAATCTCAAAAATTTATAGAAAAGGTCAACAACTCAAAAACAAAAAGACAAAGAATCCAATTTAAAAATGGGCAAAGGACATGAACAGACACTTCACCAAAGAAAATATTCAAGGGGCTAACAAACACATGAAAATGTGCTCGCAATTATTAACCATTAGATAGATGCAAATCAGAACTACAATGAGATATCACCTCATCATGGCAATAATGGCAGTGATCAAACAAAACAAAACAAAATAAAACAGAGACCAATAAATGGTAGTGAGGCTGTAGGTGGCCTGGAATTCTTATATGTTGCTGGTGGGACTGCAGAATGGTACAACCACTATGGAAAATATATGACACTTCTTTAAAAAGCTAGAAATAGAAATACCATATGATCCAGCAATTCCACTCGTAGGTATGTATCTTATGTCTATATCTTAGAAAAGGAAGAGCAGTGACATGAATAGACATGCACACCCATGTTCATCAGAGTATTATTCACAATAGCAAAAAAAAAAAAGAAACATAAATGTCCATCAACAGAAGAATGGATAAACAAACGAACATACATACAATGGAATACTGTGCAATGATAAAGAATAATGATGAATCCATGAAACATCTTAAAACATAGATGATTCTGGAGGACATTACGCTAAGTGAAATAAGTCAAACACAAAAGGACAAATATTGCATGAGGCTACTATTATAAAAAGTCAACAATAAGTTTACATACAGAAAATATTCTTTGATGGTTACCAGGGAAAGGAGGAGGAGGAGGGAGGAAGAAGCAATAACTAGAAAGTAGACAAGAGTTAATTCTGGTGAAGGAAAAGACAATACACAATGTAGGGGGAGGTCAGCACAATGTGACCAAGGCAAAGGAAGAAATTGAGAGTTATCCAAGAATAAAGGACAGCTATGGTAAATTCTAAGGAGCTCTGATGGTTTACTGGTTAAGACATTTGCTGCTAACCAAAAGGTTGGTGGTTCAAACCCATCAGCAGTAATATGGAAGAAAAATAACGTAATCAGCTTCTATAAAGATTTACAGCCTTGGAAATTCATCGAGGGTCACTACGAGTCAGAATTAGCTCAATGGTAGTGAGTTTGGTTTGGTTTGGTTATGGTAAATGCTATAACATATACAGTTCCACAACAGCCATAATAACTAACAATAATTATTAAATTATTATTAAAATAATAGGTAAATATGTGTGCTAAATAGGTGAGGGAGGTTGTACAGGAGTGTACCTGCATACACACACACACACACACATATGTATATATACATACCCAGGTATTATATATGCAGGTATATATATATATATATATGGTGGTGGATATTTCTACATACATATTTGCAAACGCTCCACATATACTCATGTATATAATAGAGCATATAGGGGCCACAGATATAGAAACTACTTAGACATCAGGCCTGAACCTGGACAGGAAGTCTAACGACCATAGTCTAGGGACATCTAGGTCAGTTGTCAAAACACAGTTCATAATGTTCTATATCCTAGTCTGGTGAGTAGTGTCTTAAATCTTGCGAGTGACCATCTGAGAAGCAACTATTGACCTCTCCCCACCTGGAACATAAACTATCAAGTCAATTCTGACTCATAGCATCCCCTATTGATTTTCCAAGCTGTAAATTTTTACAGAAGTAGATTGCCACATCTTCCTCCCATGTTGATGGATTTGAACCACTGACCTGCTGGTTAGCAACCAAATGTCTTACCCACTAAACCACCAGAGCTTCTACCTAGAGCACAGAATGAAAAAGAGTGAAAACTCAAGCAATTAATCCAAAGAACTAATAGCCTACATGAACCATAGACTCTTCTAACCTGAGACCAGAAGAACTAGATGGTGTCCTGCTACCACAACCAACCACTCTGACCAAGACCACAATAGAATGTCCTGGTTAGAATGGGTTTAAAAAAAAAAAAAAAAAAGTGTAGAACAAAATTCAAAGCCAAAAAAGAAAAAACAAAAACAAGAGACTAGAGGAACTCCTGAGACTATTGCCCTGAGAAAACCTTCTGACTTCAAACTGAAGGCACTCCGGAGGACACATTCCAAACAAGTAATAGATGGGACTATGAAAGAAATACCACCACTGTTAAGAATGTACTCCTCAGAACAATCAACTATATGAGACGAAAAGGGCAATATGTGCCCAAAAGCAAAGATGAGAAGACAAGGAGAGACAGGGAAACTGAACTAATGGAAGCAAGGAAACCAGGGAGGAAATAGGGAGAGTGCCGATAGATACATTGCAGGGAATGCAACCGATTTCACAGAACAATTTGTGTATGAACTATTGATTGGAAAAACTAATTTTCTGTGTAACTTTTCACCTAAAAGTACAATGAAACATTAAAAAAAAAATCCAGTCTAGCAACATTGCACCATATCCCCGCATAGTAATAGTTGGCTAGAACTGAGTAGAGACTACTCTATTTTACAGCTTTGGGTCTGTCCATGGAATATCTCTGGTCCAGTGGAAGGGCTTGGAATTTATCCTGTGCTCAGTAGGAAGCCAATGAAGATGTTTAACTGGAGAATGACATTTTATTTTATATAATAAATTTATTTCCTATAATAATTTCAATTTATAATTATCATATTTATAATATTAATTATTATTTTATATAATAGTTGAAATTTGGCTTTATTGTATATACTACCTTATAGATCATTTACTATAATGTTGAAAATTGGACTCTAATGATTAAACTGTTGAATATGCTCTGGTAGCATAGTGCCTAAGGCACTTGACTGCTAACCAGAAGGCTGGCGGTTCAAACCCACCAGCCACTCCTCGGAAGGAAGGTTGGACAATCCTACTTCCGTAGTGATACTGCCTCGGAAACGCAAGGAGGGGTCGCTATGAGTCGGGTCCGACTCGACGGCACATAACAACAACAACAAATGATTCAACTGTTACAATTTTTATTTGACTGTCAAAGGCTTTTTATAATTTTCAAGCAGCAAATTTAATTTTCTATTTGAGATTTTAGTTTTTCTTTGGTTCATCAAAATAAGAATTACTCAAAAACTAACTTTTTTAACTTCAACTAATTTGATTGGGCAATCTACTTCCCTAGTGATACCACCTCAGAAACCCAAGGAGGGCTCGCTATGAGTCAGGTCCAACTCAAAGGCAAATAACAACAACAACAATTTATTTGAACTTGCACTTTGATAGTCCTGCAAATGTAGCATTTTCTTAGATAGGAGGAAAGCAGAAAGAGTGGCTTTGATATTGGACACACTTAAATCACAACTTCTTATCAGCCCTGTGATCTTGGGCAAGTGTCTTGACTCCAATGTGTTATGACACCAAAGTATCATGATGCCAAAGAACCTCAGTTTATCATCTGTAAAATAAGGATAATATCTATGTGACAAGACCATGGTGAGATTTAAAGGAAATCTTATGTAAAATTACTTGAACAGTATAGACAATTAGCAGTTATTTTTAACACAAATTATTTTTACAGACCAAATTATTTTTATAGCTATTTCACCAAAATTACAAAAAGTATATTCTAGACCTAAACCAAACTCTCTGTTATTGAGTAGATTCTGATTTATAGTGACCCCCATTGGGTTTCCAAGGCTGTACATTTTTACAGAAGCAGACTGCCTCATCTTTCTTATGTGAAGAAGCTGGTAGGTTTGCCAACCCCTTGGTTATCAGTCAAATGCCTTAACCACTACACCACCAGGACTCCTTAAAAGTGTATTCTTTTAAGGAGGGAACACTGTTAGATAGGTAGAGACAAATATTGATTTGGGTGAAGAGAAGGGCAATATACTAAATGTGAGTAATTAACATGGTGACGTTAAGGAAGAGGAAGACAGAGAGGTGCATGGAAGGTACAGACAACAAAGATGAACCCTTTGGCACATACAGAACTGCATTGTCAGTGAATGCAAACATTGATATATGAGTAGATATATGCATGGACAGGCTTAACTATTAGGTATGTCCATGCAGGGGGGAATGTGCCCAAGACCATTTATAGGGTTGGCAGACAATGTTTCTACAAGTGTATTTGTATGTTCTATAAGAATTGCCAAGTATATAGTAGAGCTGACAAGGGACAAGGTTGTAGTCACTTCTTGGCCACAGTCAGCTTCCCTGAGGAAACGAATCATAGTCACAGGGGACATCAAGCTCAATTGGCATAACATACATAAAAACATTGTTCCATGTCCTACTTTGGCGAGTAGCGCCTGAGATCTTAAAACTTGAAAGCGGCCATGTAGATGCAACGATGGGTCTCTCCTCGTCCAGAGCAAAGAAGAATGAAGAAAACCAAAGATTCATGGAAACAATTAGTCCAAGCAACTGGTACACCATGCAATCCTCAGCCTATATGACTATGAGAACAGAACTAGATGACGCCCAGCTACCACTGTCAACCACACAGAGGGGATCTCTGTAGGAGATCCTGGATAGAGTGGGAGAACAATTTAGAACAAAATTCAAAATCGTTTTAAAAAAAAAAAAGGCCCAGGCTTGCTGATCTGAGAGAGCCTGATGGAACCACTGAGACTAGGCCCCTAGTTGCCCTTTAGGTCTGGAATTAAACCCACTCCTGTGGCTTCCAGCCAAACAAAAGACAGGCATAAGAGCTGAACATTTACAGTAGGTAGATACACTCCTTGGACGGATCAATCATGGGAGAAAGAAGGAGTAAATAAAAAAGTTTGTTGTTTTTTTTTTTTAAAAAAATGTATATTCTATATGAGTTAAAAAATGCAGATTTCATATGACATTAACAGTTTCCCCTTATTCAGGTAAGATCGGCATATGTTAGATGTAGCTCCACAATCTGTTACATACAATTATGAAAAACAAAATCTTTTCTAAAGTCCTAAATTTTCATAACTTATGTGATAGTAAAATATAACTTGAGTTCAGGTGAGAGTTAAATTCTGACCTGAACTAACATGGTCTTTATTTCACTTTGTGTGAATTCCTATGTTTCAGTATAACGCTATCGATTTGTTTTATTATGGAATGCTGCTGCCTGCTGGAGGTGCTACATATAAATATAGCATGTGCTCCTCATTACAATTCTAGAATCAAAAAACCCTTGAGTTTTGAAACACAACTGGCACCAATGGTTTCTGAGAATGTGGATGTCCTTGCTTTCTTGGTCTGCAATACTCAGGATCTGTAAAAGGATAAGAATGGATGGAATGGAATAGAGTCACAATTTTTCGGTAATTCAAAATCCCATCAGAAGACTGATGAAGTATGGCAGGTGCACTTTATGAAGCTATGCTCTGGCTGTATCATAGAAAATTCCTGTTACTTAAGGGAAGAAACAACCAAAGTGATGTCACCAAAAATAGGTAAGGGGAATTGTACACTTCCTGGTGATTTTTTAAAGCTTATTTTATTTTTTTTGTTGTTGTTGAGAATACACACAGCAGAACATTCAGCAGTTCAAAAATTCATGTACAATTCAGTGACAATGATGATATTCTTTGAGTTGTGCAGCCATTCTCACCACTCTATTCTGAATTGTTCCTCTCCTATGAATGTCAACTCATTGACTGACAATTCCTTTGTTTTTCTTTTTAATCTTTATTGTGATTTTGGTGAAAGTTTACAAAGCAAATTCATTATCCATACAGCAGTTCATACACATTTTGTTTCATGACATTGACTACAATTTCCCACAATGCAACAGTTCTCTTCCCACTTCCTCCCTGTAGTTACCTCTTCCCTGTGTCCTTCCCTCCATGTACTCCCGCCCCCTGAGCTGTCTCCCTGTGCAAACATTCCCTTTCTGTTCTTCCACAATTGATCACCCCAAGGAGTCTATCTACCTGATGTAAATGTTCACCCCTATGCCTGTCTGTTGTTTAGCTGGAAGCCACAGAGTGAGTGTAGTTCCAGATCTGCAGGGCAACTAAGGGCCATAGTCTCAAGGGTCTCACCAGGATCTATCAGACCAGCAAACCTTGTTGCTGATTTATGATTTTGAGTTTTGTTCCACCTTGTTTTTCCACTGTATTGAAGATCTCCTGCACCAATCCCCCTCTGAGTGGTTGACAGTGGTAGCCAGCCACGTCTAGTTCTTCTGATCTTATGGTCATATAGCTGAGGATTGCATGGTCTACCACTCCCTTGGATTAATTGTTTCTATGCATCTTGCCTGACAATTCTCAACTATAGTGATGGACAGCTATTGGACTTTGCTTATCACAAATAGATAACATAATTTTTCCTCACCCAGATTTTCCTGCTGGGAAAGAGTAAGGATAATGGACTGTTTTTCAGTCATTTAAAAGGTGGCATATAAAGAGTTTTTAATTGCATGGGAGAAATTATTGTTATAATGTTAAATGAGAGCAAAGGATATAAAATTATGTATATAATATGGTTACAACTATATATTTTTAAAGTGATGTGTTTTTTAATTTAAAGAAGTACACTAAAAATTTCATAGTGGTTGACACTTTTGGGTGTTAAGATCATGGGTGACTAGTTTTCTTTCCATTGATCTCCAATGGCTGTTCCCTACTGGGCAATAAGTGTGCCAGGAGGTATTGATCTCTTCAGACCATAGCGCTGTGATCATTCACACCTGGCAGCGAGCAGACTTGACTGGGAATCCTCGGAAGGTGGTCTGTGTAGAGTGGGGACTGACAGCTCACCCCCATTCTCTCCCTTGTCTTCTTTTTTTTCCTCTCCCCTGTCTTGCAGGCAACAAACACAAAAAGCAACATCTGGTATTCTCTCCCTGTCAGGAGCTGCCTGTGAAGCCACGTCAATTCATTCAACGGTCTACTGCAGTGCTCAAAGTCACCGAGGAACAGAAATATCCAAGTATCCAAGGTATAGCTGCTTACAGGGCTTGGGTATGGGTGAGTAGGGCGGTAAGACACAAGACCCAGGCAAATGCCACTACAGACAGCAGCCCCAAGTCTGTGTCTTCACTTGTTATCAGAAACTTAAGTCCACTTGTAGCTGCTGTACCTTTAAGTGATATCCAAACCAGGTGGAGGGGTAGGTGCTCTAAGAATGCATGTTCATCCTACAGTTTAGCAATTCATCCTTCCTTATTTTGATTTCAAAACATGGATTCAAATTCCATATGTATTATTCTTGGGAGGAAATGTTATCCCGTGGGAAAAAGCACATTATCCCAAGAAATTTCAATATTTTGTCAATTAAAGAAAAGCAAGAGCTGTGACATTTAAAATATATCATTTCAACTGTTACACATTTTAACTATTTGTTAAAGTGGCTTTAAATTTTATATTCTACTTATGCAAACAGAGTTCCAAGTTGATTATCCAAGTAACTATCAAGAATTAAAGAGATCATCATTAAGAAAACTTGACAGGAAATGCATGTTACCATTTTAAGCATAATTCCTGATATAAATAATGTAAGGTCCCAGAAACATACTGAAGTTTCCCATTAAATATTTTTAAAATCATTTCAATTTAGACATTCATAAACCATCCACAACATTCTCCTTAGTATTTTGTATCTTGTTTTTCTTAGCATAATTCTGTAACATAAAGAAAAGTATTATTTTTTTCCTCCAGACCTCATATTGATAGCCCTTACATCTGCTCTAGTGTACTTCAGAGTGCTATAAAAATATGTTATCATTTTCTAGGTGTGATGTGACAAAGAAAGTTATGAGCATCACTTTATGGTGTTCTGGTATTTAGCAAGAGGACAAAAGGGGCTCACACTTAAATCTTGTCATTGTCAGAAGACTCTGAGGATTCTGTGCACCTTCTAGATGGGTATTCATTTATCCATGTCTATTAAAACACAATCTCTTCTTGTCCACAGTCCCCTATCACAAGAAGCCAGGACACAGGTTACTGCAGGCAATGTATATCACTTTTCCCCACCAGCCCCTCCCTTACACAAACTAATGTGACTTTCCTTGGCTTTCATGCATGGAGCTGGCACCATTAGTCCCATTCACCTTCTACACCTCAGCCTTTGAGCTACATAAACCTTGTGCCAAGTTTCATCTGCCTCCTAAAATGTTACCAACAATGATAGACAAGTACAGCTCAAATTGGGGAAAAAAAGAAAAGAGAATATTTTGAGGAGGGGTTTAAAAAAAGAGCTTGCCCAAAGAATTGTTGATGGAAATAAATGTTTTTGTTTTTCAATTTCTTCATGGCAGGAACTTCACCTGTGACAGAACATCATGCTTCTCTGAGCACATTCAATGATCAGTTCATCACTTTTGTTTTTGAGAATGGGGCTTATGCCATCTATGTTGAATACTTGGGAAAAGACCAACAGAAAGGTATAGAACACTGCCATTTATCTATAATGATTATTGGTAAAACAGAAAACAAATCTACCAAACAATAATTTATGTCATGTCTAAATGACAAAGTGACTTCATGCTGTGTGTTAACTCCAATCCATTGAGAGTAGATGCTTGATCATCACTGTTTTGAGATGAATTCTGAAGCTTACTCAGAGTTCATCAAGGAAGAATGCTGATACTGAAAAGTGGCATCTGTTGTGAAAGATAGAAGGAGGAGCCACATATATTTGCTACTGCTAAATTATCCACCAGAGTTTTCCAGCTTTATTGATAGCACCACGTTACAACTTCCAGTAAAACATTATACCAATGTTAACAGCAATATTTTAAGCATTTCAATAACAACTATTGTGGTAGTTAAGGTAGTGTGTCAACTTGGCTGGGCCTGGTTGAGTGGCTGGGCAGCTGGATATAGTTATTCCCCATGGTGAGCTTGGTAATCAGCTCCATGGTGGAATCTATTGGAGCAGCTAAATGGCTACTTTAGAGATGTGGGCTGCTTCCAGTATATAAGCAGAAGCTTTGAAGAAGGTCTCTAGCTTTTTGGCACACTTGAATTCTCCATGTAACTGAGTCTTCATTCAGCAGTCTTCCCTGCTCTGCCAATCTTGGGACTTTTAATGGACTTGAATTAAGGGCCTGATGTGTAGTTTGGTAATTTTGGGACCTTTTTGTTTGTCAACCTTGGGTTTGTCAGTTCAGCTGCTAGCAGCTGCCTGAGTGAAGAGATGCCTCTAGCTTCAGTGGGCTGGGAGCAAGAGACAAAGTTGAAGCCCAAGATTGAGGGATTTTCACCAACCCCTAGAGCCTGGTACTTGAAACTTGGACTTCTAATCTCCATAACTGTAAGAGAATAAACTCCTGTTTGTTAAAGTCATCCCATTTATGGTCTATTCCTGTTAGAGCGGAACTAGGTAACCAAACGACTATATTCAGAGATTCATTGGTGCCTATTCATACATCTTTTGAGACCTTTCTCAAAACCACAAAAGTTTTGCATTTATTGGTATATAATAAAAAAGGAGGGTATAATGTAACATTTCCTGATGTCGTGTATATGTCAAAACTGAAAATTTGAAAACACTGTATCTCACCAAAAGGATTTTATGCATTCTCTTTCAGACAAGGTGTTACTCCGTTACTATGCTTCTCAAACCCCTGCAGGTGAATCAGGTAAATTGGAGGGTTGGATAGCTGTAGTGCTTGAATTCTTAAATGTGGGGTAAAGAAAAATAAAAAATGCTACAAAGGGAAGGAATGAATGAACTAGCATCTCAGAAGATCTTCTTCAACCCAAGTTCATGAAAAAATCTTATCTTTTTAGAAGATTTACTCCATCTCATCCATTATGCAGTTTAATTGTTATGATAAAAGTTTGGCTATATGTTGTTGTTGTTATGTGCCATCGAGTCGGCCCTGACTCATAGCGACCCGTCCTAAGGTTTCCGAGGTGGTACGACTACGGAAGTAGATTGCCCAAACTTCCTTCCAAGGAGTGGCTGTATATAATAAGAGCTCAGTGTCGGTCAGCTCGTATTATTGTGTATATACGCCATAATATATGTTAGATACATTTAGGAATGTTTGTTAAGGGAGAGAAAAATGATGCTGGTTACCATCCATTGTAGCAGCTATTTAGGTCATTCAATCCAAGATCCACAGCTTTCTAATACATTTAAGTTGAATAGAGCTTGAACATGATCTTTTCTGAAATTGTTTCCTCACCATGGTCTTTTACTTGAATTAGCTTCAGGTGATTATCACTAACTCCTATAAATGTTCCAGGGTTGCTCTTACATTCAAATTATAGCCTTCTGGTTAGCAGCCAAGTGCCTTAGGCATTACACTTCCAGAGCTCCTTGGCTATATGTTAGATACCCATAATAACAGTGACTTAAGCTAGATAAAACTTTGTGTGTCTTAGCCTGTGCTGGAAAGGCAGTTCTACTCAACAGGTTGTCCAGTGATCCAGCTTCTCCTATCTTGTGGCTCTGCCACCATCTCCATGATACAAGATAACTTGCCCCCATGCCCATGTTCCAAGCAGCAGGACAGAGGAAAATGGGTATATGCATTCCCTAAAGGGCACAACCAGGAAGCAGCATCCGACACTTCTACTCACCTCACACTGTCAGAACTTAGTCACATGGCTGCAGTTAGCTGAGGAATGTTCTATTATTAGACAAAAGGAGAAGTTGGATACTGGGAGAAAACTATTAGTGGCTTTTACATGAAGATAGGAAAGCTGATGGCCAGAGAGATGCCCATTAGAGTCACAATTCTCCAATTAGTATAAAAGAAAACTTTCCTCTCTCCTTAAGGGGTTTTGAAGTACCTTCAAGTTACTCAATAACTCTTTAATTTCATTTGGGTGAAAATATTTCTAAAAGACATGTTGGTGAATGAAGTACTTATTTTAAATAACATCTTAGACTCTTCCAGGGGGTTAAATTTGTTTCAGTTAAAATGAATTACAATTCTTAACTTATAAATTTATTATTTTTCTTAATTGTAAGGTGATGAGGTTGATGGTAAGAAGTTTATGGTAAACCTGAGTCCTACAAAAGACAAAAACTTCTGCCTGCATGCCGACAACAACAAACTGTCTGTGGACGTAAGAGAAGTATGTACTCAACTCTCATGATCAACTCTAACCATCTGTGAAGATTTGGATGGTTAGGGTGTTTTGCAGGAGAAGTCTTATTTGTGTTATTGTACATAAAATGTAATCAATTACTACAAATAACTTGCTTTGGGAGTGACAAAGGTAGGGAAGTGGGCTGTACAATCTTACTACTGAAAGTCTGGTGTCCTCCAGCACTTCAACATCACCTGGGAGCTTGTTAGGTGCAACCCAGTAAGTTCCAACTCATAGCCATTCCTATGTACAACAGAACAAAACACTGCCTGGTCCTGTGCCATCTTCACAGTAGTTGCTACACTCAAGCCCATTGTTATAGCCATTGTGTCACTCCATCTCATTGAGGGTCTTCCCTTTTTTTGCTGATCCTCTACTTTACCAAGCAGGATGTTCTTCTCCAGGGACTGGTCCCTTCTGATAACATGACCAAAGTAGGAGACACTCAAGTCTTGTCCTTGCTTTGAAGGAGCATTATGGCTGTACTTCTTCCAAGACAGATTTGTTCATTCTTCTGGCACTCCATGGTATATTTAATGTTCTTCATCAACATCATAATTTGAAAGCATCAATTCTTAGAAATGCAGAATTTCAGGCTCCCTGCAACTGAATCAGAATGAGCATTTTAACAAATCTCTAGGTGGTTCATATGCACATTGATGTTTGAGAAACAACATCTACATTGAATGATCTCATTCTATATTGAATGATCTCAAATCCTTTCCATTTGGCTTTATGAACTAGTATGTTCTTCCAGGAATTTTTCCTTTATAAAATATGGTTTTCCCAGATGAATACAAAAAAGTTTCACATTCCCAGCCTGCTAAAGAAAAGGTCATATACATTTCTATATGCCAAGATTTATAGATAATGTTACAACAATCTATATTCTGATCATAGGATTTACTGTATATTCATCTTCAATTGGTAAATGGCAATATTGTAATGGTCATGATGAAGAGTTGTAAGCATCTTGAGGAACAAAAAAGTCAGAGGTAGAAACAAGGAAGAAAACAAGAGAGTACAATATAGAATATAAATTACATAAACTTGGAATTAAAAAGTTAACTAAGACAGCTGTGTAAGGCATTATTAACATAAACACTGGATGGTAACCAGCATCATTTTTCTCTCCCTTAACGAACATTCCTAAATGTATCTAACATATATTATGGCATATATACACAATAATAAGAGCTGACCTACACTGAGCTCTTATTATATACTAAACACAGTGCTTAATCTTTTATAAGCACTGTCTCCTTTAATCCTTGCGTTAACTCTATGATGAAGTTATTGCATTGGTCAGCTATCGCTGTGTAATAAGCCATTGCCATAACTCAGTGGCTTAAAAGAACTGATCATTTATTATTGCTCACATATCTAAGGATAAGTTGGTGGTTGACTAATCAGGAAATGGGTAGGCTAGAAAATTGAGGCTTAAGAAGTAAAGCAATGTGCCCAAGGTCTCAGAGCCAGTTCATGGACACAGAAGGGCACAAATCCAGAAATGCTGCATCCAGATCCAGTATTCTGTGCCACAGTGCCGCTTAAAGTATATTGCCTCTGATTCTATCAAATTCCCTTCCCTTCGGTCCTCTACTTCCTTCTTCCTCCATCTCCTCCCCTACTCTGTAAGCAGGCTTGCTAGAAATGCTAAGTCATACATGAATAGCCCCCTTTAGTTTTTAACACAGGGAGATGAAGTTAACTTTGGACTTCCCATTCACAAATTGATTACTTTCTCTCATTTCCTCAGATTCTAGAACCCAAAAAGCCACTGCCAGAACAGGCCTTCTTCCTCCTTCATCGGCAGACCTCTGATTATGTATCATTTGAATGTAAGAGCAACCCTGGAACATTTATAGGAGTTAGTGATAATCACCTGAAGCTAATTCAAGTAAAAGACCATGGTGAGGAAACAATTTCAGAAAAGATCATGTTCAAGCTCTATTCAACTTAAATGTATTAGAAAGCTGTGGATCTTGGATTGAATGACCTAAATAGCTACCAGAGAAGAGAAGAGAAAAGATAAGGAAAGACACAAGCAATACCTGAGGGAAATGAAGAGCTTTTAGCATGCTGTGGAATGTTTTCCTTGTTATGTGTGAATTCCCTCTGCCCCCTAATCTTTCCGTTCTGTTTTTTATTTCCCTCTGGATCACTGTACATTCAATATAAGAATCAGTATATTAAATAGGGTATTAGTTATGAAACTTGCAGACATTCTTAAAAAGCCTCATCTTCATTTTTATACAGTTTTGATTCAGAAAGAGCTTCATGTTTAGAGCCAAGGATTCTAGAGAGGAGTAAAGGCCTGAGTCTCTCTTTAGGACATCATTTTTTAAAGGAGGGACATCATTTTTCCTGGTTCCAAACTCTAACTTCTAACACTAGAGCTGCTAATAAAAAGACCAGATTCTACATAGATCGATCATTTCTCAACTGGAATAAAACACCACATTTGTTTTTAGATGTCCTAGGGAGCCTTGGTAGCATAGTGGCTAAGACACTTACCTGCTAACCAGACGGCTGGCAGTTCAAACCCACCAGCCACTCCTCGGAAGGAAGGTTGGGCAATCCTACTTCCGTAGTGATACTGCCTCGGAAACCCAAGGAGGGGTCGCTATGAGTCGGGTTTGACTCGTGGGCACATAACAACAACAACAACAACAAGGTGGCACTCAGATTAGATCTTTCAAATTGTCAAGGGTTGTGGGACTTTAAATGCTTACATGGCTAGCCAGATAACAAATGTAGGAAAAGGCAAGAACAAGCAAAACACTAAGAAAAATAAATCCAGTATTGAAAAAGTGAATCATGTCATCCTTAACTGTTCCACATTTTAAATTCTAATTCTTATATACTGAGTTTACTTTTTGCAAGTCATTCTTACATTAGGAAGTGAAATAAATTGTAATTCAGTCATATAGCTGAAATCATCATGAATGAGTATCAAATTATTTTTTTAAAAAGTGGTGAACCAGGACATAGGTTAGGGCAGTGATTCTAACCTGAATACCACAGTGGAGCCAGAAGTCCTCATCCTATTAGAGCTGGGATAAGACACAAAATTTACATTACAATTTCCATAACTGGCTGATTGTGTGTCTGTGACATGCCATATCTTCTGACTCTGACTTCCAGGGATCTATGACTTCTGATGTACTCATTATCACCTGAGACAAAATTTCTTCTAATCCCTCTTTCCCAAGAAATCTTTCTGTTGTCCAGCTTCTAGATGACCTTGAGTACTGTGGCATATCCATATGACTTCTGTCTGTTCTCCATTCTTTCTGGCCAACTGGGATCTTGATATATTTTTGCACCCCTTGAGCTTCACATCCATGTTGGCTGTCCTCTAAATGCCAATATATTTACTTTGGTTAATCCACCTGATGTTTTAGAATTTTACATAAGCCTTTTGATGTAGATATTTTTATTGAACACTTTGGTGTTTTCTAGTTACTAAGGTAGTAAAATGCATACTCAACTACAAAACAACAAATATATTCATTTACTAATGGTATTGTTTTTGCTTGTTTTAAAGTAGCAATTTGTAATACAATTTTTCACAGGTTTAATGCAGTAAATGATAAACAAAATACTAGATGTCTAATAAAGTGTGAACTTTCCTGAAAATGTGGGCTTTTAGTCTATAATTTGTGGAAACCTATTGAACATATTTGCTGGTGGAACATTAAAAAAAAAAAAAAAAAAGGCTGATACTGTAGTAGGGCATACAATTGTAAAACAATATATCTTGGTTTCATTATTTTGTCAATCATTACATTACAGATACAAAAATAAAAGCATAATCTATACCATCCCCTCTGAATGTTGACCATGTGCATCAGGATGATACACTTCAAATGATTGTTATTATGCAACCCAATATTGTTGTTGTTGTTGTGTGCCGTCGAGTCGGCCCCGACTCATAGCGACCCCTCCTTGGGTTTTCGAGGCAGTATCACTACGGAAGTAGGATTGCCCAACCTTCCTTCCGAGGAGTGGCTGGTGGGTTTGAACCGCCAGCCGTCTGGTTAGCAGGCAAGTGACTTAGCCACTATGCTACCAGAGCAACCCAATATATCCACTACATAATTTATATTCCTTTTACTTTTTTAGTTATGCTTTGGGTGCAAATTTACAGAGCAAAATTTGTTTTACATTCAATAGTTCATGTACATTTGATTTCACACCCCAATTACCATCCCCAACCATAACCCACTCTCCTGCCCTCCCTTCCCTGTAACACCCCCCTTCCTGTGCCCTTCTTAACTGTGCACTCCTGTCTGTCCAGCTGTCCCTCCATGTAAATGCTGCCCCTCTGGTGCCCCATGGCTGATTGCTCCAAGGGGTGTATCTCCATAGAGTAGGTGGGTGCATCACCCTGGTTGGGTATTCTGCATGCATCATTTATATTCTTAAATAAACTGTATTTTCAAAAGTATGCAAGACCTAATGATTTTATTATAAAATGACTCAAAATTCTGAAATTCTTTATTTTTTTTTAAATTTTATTCTTCATTTTATTTTTATTGTGACTTGGGTGAAAGTTTATAGAGCAAATTCATTTTCCATACAGCAGTTCATACACATTTTGTTTCATGACATTGACTACAATTCCCCACAATGTAGCAGCTCTCTTCCCACTTCCTCCCCATAGTTACCTGTCCCTGTGTCCTTTCCTCCCATATACTCCTGCACCCCCACCACCACAAGCTGTCTCCCTGTGCAAACACTGCCCTTCTATCCTCCCGCTATTGATTGATCGTTCCAAGGAGTGTATCTACCTGATGTAAATGTTCCCTCCATATGCCTATCTATTGAGTAAGCTCAGTTCCAGACCTGAAGGGTAGGTAACAAGGGGCCATAGCCTCCAGGGTCTTACCAGGCTCTATCAGACCAGCAAACATGGTCTTTTTTTTTTTTTTAAATGAAAATCCTGAAATTCTTGAAAGAAAGTAAGCACATGCTAATTCATCAATGTTAGTCTCAGGAGTAGATCATATGTCAGCTACTTTTTGTGATTCAAAGTTAAGTAAGAGTTGAAATTCATGGGAAATTTAAAAAGAAAATTGCTAATCTAATTAGAATGCAGCAGACTTGATGTAAGTCTAAAAAGAATGACTCATAACCTCCACTTCTGCAGAACAAAACAAGCTACAAAATAACAATTCCAATCTTTGTGCCTCAGATTGGATTCAGCCTGCTCAGAAATTTCATAATGTGTACAGAAATTCTCAGCTAGGGTACTCCAGTGACAGCTGAAGGAGGCTTATCTCAAAACCCCTTCTCCCCTCATACTATCACCTATGTAGCTCAGAGATCTCATATTCTGGTAGTTATTTTTAAATATTTGCTGTGTATACAGGCCCATGCTAAATATCACAAAAGTACAGAAGAAACCTAAGCTATGTACGTTCCTTGTCCACAGGAAACTTAAAACACGTACAATATGTATTGAAATTCCAACTTCATAGCCCACAATAGCACAAAGGAGAGAGATCAGTTGAGCTGTCATTAAGGAAAGACATCAGACTGAATTCACTACCCCTTTACCTCAGTACCCACTCCCATCTATTCAAATACCCATTCTGGAGGTCCGACTAAGCAGACTCCTTCTCCTTGAAGGTTCCTTAATAGTCATGGTTGGCAATCTTGGAAATGGATGCAAGAAAGTGAAAGCCAATTGGTAGGGACGGAATAAATTCCCTATTTCCTGTTGAGGTGCCAAGATGATGAGACACTTGTCTAAGTCCAGTTCTACTCCCTGGCCTGGAAGACACTCCCATCAGGAGAATGCATGAATCATTGTTTACTGGCTAGTTGACTTCAGCAAATTATGTAACCCCACTCAAACTTTGTTTCTTCTCTGAAAAACTGGGGTGCCAAATACTGTATTGTCTACCCAACATCTATCACCACCATCCCTATTTTCTTACCACAAAACCTCATTTTGTATAGGACAGCAATGTGCCTAACTAAAAATATACTCCTTCTGAACCTCCCATGCAGCTGGATATGACAGCCATTTGACATAACTCTGGGTAATGACATATAAGCAGGATAATGGTTTGAAAAAAACTTTATTTTTAAAGGGGCACATTTGGCACACACTTTTTCAGTCTTTCATTCCACTCCCATTCTTCTTACCTTGACCATACATGTGTGTGAGTCTGAATGTAGAACACTCAACTTCTGACCATGAGGTGATAAGCATGGGGACAAAGGCCTGCACGTTAAAAATGACAGGAGGGAAAGATGGTGGAGCTAACAACTTTGGTCCTCTGCCCAGATCCCCTTGGATTCCCTTCTATTGGATCCCTTGGTAGAATTTCAATGTGTGGCATCTACTTACTACCACCACCATCATCTCCTGTGCACTTTTCAGAGCCAGCACTTCCAGTTCTTCTTATAAAGACTGCCCTTAGGCAACTGAAGCTGCTTTGCCCTCCTGCACAGAGAAATGAAAGTATCTGTGAGTTTGCATTCCATCCACCAGCCTCATGCTGAGGCTTTTGAAAGCTCAGTTCCCTTGCTTTGAATTAGAACAGCTGTCTTAAAATACACTCCAAAATGCCCCTATGGGTAACATTTCAGAAGGTAGGCCTAGTGTGGTACAGTGAATTTCTTGGTATGGCTCTTCTAGCCAGGGTCTTTGTGACTCTCATCAGATGACTGGGTGGAATTATGCAAATATAAGTTGCTTATGGCACACCAAGGAGTTTGAATAGGTTGTTAGTAGCACACTTGTGGGGGTGGGATCGTGGAAATAAGGTGAATGGAACCCTAATGTGGGGATTGGTCAGTTTTGTCATTCCGCTAGGCTTAAAGGAGCTCTCTCAGAGGCAGAAAAGGGAATCTCAATACCATCAAGACAGAGAAGAGACAAGAGTGGAGTACATCCTTGGATCTGAGATCCCTGAGCTGAGCCCAGGGCAGAGATAGTGGGAACAG